TTTTCCTTATTTTTTATTGTATTAGACTTCCAAAGTTTCATGTCTTTAATGGTAGAAGAAAAAGTCTTACATATATTTTTATCTTTTTATACTTTCTTTATAGATTTAAAAAGTATGCCTTATAGTTCCCGTATATTTTAGAGACCATGAGAAAGCTTGGATTTAAGGTCTCCATATATTTTTTCTCTCTCTTATTTTCACCCCCCTCTACAAAATGATTCATAACATATTAATGGACCAAACTCCTCTGGAGCCTGAGAAACTGTCATGCTTCCATATCCTGGTCCTGTTTAACTCTTCCCTTTGATCCACTCCATCCTAAGAACATAATGTATAAATCTATAAATGTGTTGGAATTCAAGTTATTTTGGTACCCATGCTCCCAAACTCTCCTTTTCTGAGGCTCATGAGAATGGCTTTGTGGTGCCCCATTTCCTCTCTGCCCTCAACCTCAAAGGAGGTCAAACTAAAGTTTTAGGATTTGTGATGCAGAATTATGGGACAAAATGAGAGTGAAAGGCTGAAGTGCTCTCCTGCTCCAGCGGGCCGGGAAGTGGAAGTTGCTAACAGTGGAGCAGCAGGGCGTATGTGTGGGAGTGGGTGGGAGAGGAAGGGGGTGTTGTGAAGAAATCCATAAATTTCTTGCAACTTGTGGTTGTTCCAGACTTGCTGGAAAGTACAGACTTGCTGTTATTTTGAAATTAATGTTTGATTGCTGGGCTGTATTTGTAGGACTCTGTCATTATTCTGAGACTGAACCATGTGGGTCATGTTTTTTCTAATTAGTCTTAATAAGGTTACATAAATTCAAGTGAGAATAAGTTAATTACCACAACCACTTGGGCAGGTACCTAGATGATCACGCTGCCTACAAAGAAAGACATCTATAAGAAAAACAGCCTAGGTTCGTGTTCCCAAATCTTAGGCTACATCAGACTCACCTGGAGAGCATTTTAAATTGCAGACTCTTGGGCCCCATCCCTAGCAGTTTTGATGCTGTTGTTTGGGGTCAGGTTCTAGGATTCTGCATGTTTCATTGTCCCCCTGTGATTCTGGTGAAGGGAGTTTAGGAACCCTACTCTGGCACAAGGCCAATCGGTGTCAGACATCTCCAGACAGTTCTATGTGCCACAAGGGCTCCAGTAGCTCAAATACAGAAATATGAACTTAACAGTGTCCCTTGGATAGTCTCAAAGAAAAGTCTTCACACATTCTTTATTGCATTCTTCTTAGTCATATTTGCAGGAACATCTCACCTTTTCTGTGGCTCTTATCCCCCGTTCCATGCTTGAAATCTATAGGTGACCAAAGGCAATAATTATTTAATCTTCTGACATACAGAATAAGCATTACCTAAAACTCTCTCCAACACTAACACAAGCCATTAAATAACACTCACCAGAGTTGTCTCACTAATGCAAATTTCTGCATTTCTGCAAAATCTTACCAGAAAGATAATTGGAAAGAAGAGTTGGCTGTGGATTGTTAAGTATTTGTCTAATTACATAATGGGATGCTGAAATGAAAACAGATAATGTTTTGCTTGCAGGAGATTTTGGAAAAGGCTGCACTTCGTCTAAGTAGAAAAGGCTTCCTTACCCACCATCAACTTTGGTTGTAGATTAACTAGATTGTCCATTTTAAAGTCGTACAATGAAAATATTTATGCTCATCTCCTGGTACAGTTTGCTCAGAGCTTCCAGAGCCTGGTTTGGAAGGAGTGAGGGCCACTCGCCCACTGTGCCTAATCATAAAATACCAAATGTTCTAAAAGCAGCATTGCTCAGGCTAGCCTGTTGCCATTTATCATGCAGGTGACGCTAAAACTCTAATCACTGAAGCAGGACTTGAGAAGTGAAACAAACCATCACAGAATACAAGGTTTTTATGGAAACTTTATAGCCAGCCAGCTCAGTCTTCTTAGGATGCTTTTGTAACCTCTGGGCAAACACACATAAGAACCATCCAGGAAACAGTTTATATAAATTTATATATATATATATATATATATATATATATATATAAATTTATTTAAAATTTATTTTTAAATTTATTTAAAATTTTTAATTTATTTAATCATGATAGAGAGAGAGAGAGAGAGAGAGAGAGAGAGAGAGAGGCAGAGGGAGAAGCAGACTCCATGCAGGGAGCCCGGTGCAGGACCCAATCCCGGGTCTCCAGGATCATGCCCTGGGCTGAGGGCTGCACTAAGCCACTGAACCACCGGGGCTGCCCCAGGAAACAGTTATATTGATTGGTCAGCCTAGAGACACAGGAGGAAGATCTGGGAGCCAATGTGCCCTGGCTGGATACTGTCCACCCACTTTATATCCTCTGCACCTGCTGGTCTTGTCACTGAAAAATAATGGTCATGTCCCACCAAATTGGAAGGTATTTTGATGTCATCTTAAATGAATTTCAACTCTATGATAACATATTTCCCTTGTCTCAGCCATAGGTAGGCTAGGAATTAATATGGTGAAGTGGTAACGACCAGTGAGAAAGGCAGATGGAGAAAAGGTAAAACTAACTTTGTTTTGTATACTTGAGCCAATTTCCTTTAGGAGATCCATTCAACCAGACTCCAGACTGTTAGCAGAAGTCTTACTACTTATAAGAAATATTAAAGTTATTGATTGGGTAAAGATATCGAAGTTGTAAAATGTAAACATCTAATACAGTAAAATTTTAAAATATTTTCTTATATTTTTATTATATATTGTATAAAATTTTTAAAAATAATACATTTTGAAGACAATGCTATAATGATTAGCACACTGGCTTTCAATATACAAGATATTGTAGTAGTCTTTAAAAAAAACAAAACAAAACAAACAAAAAGCTGTTAACCAGCCAAGAAGGCTTTGCTTCACATCCACAGCTACTGGGGATTTTTCAATTGTCTTTTTTATAGATTAGACACAAAAGCTTGAGCCTCAAAGCAAACACATACCATTTACAGCCCTTTATTTCCAAGGGAAAGGAGTATTTTATGTCACATCCTGTTTTGTAAATAGGACTCTGCCTTCCAAAATTCCAAGGAGAATGCAGCTGACAGCATGCTTTCTTGGACTGTGCATGCTACCATTGGCATCTGAATTCCTACAGGAACTTAGCAGAGAGTGGGTCACTCACCTCCCTAGAGCTGGTTATCTTTCTTAAGATAGTTGAGCATTGGGTTGAGCAAGGTTTGAAGGATATGATTTTTTTTAAGATTTTATTTATTTTATTCGTGAGAGATGGAGAGAGAGAGGCAGAGATATAGGCAAAGGGCAAAGCAGGCTCCTCACGGGGACCCTGATGTGGGACTCGATCCCAGGACTCTGGGATCACAACCTGAGCCAAAGGCAGAAGCTCAACCACTGAACCACCCAGGTGTCTGTCTCAAAGGATATGATTCTTAAGAATGATACAGACTATTTCTGTTTCAACTGAGAGTGTTTTACCAGTTTAAAACAGAATGAGGCGAACTGCATAAGCTTGAGAGCCTTAAATAATCTTTTCTAAGATGGAGTAAGATGGCAAAATCTTTACAGAAAAGAGACTCATAAATTTTGATTCATACTGAAAACGATGTACTTAAAAAGAATCGTGGAGTTTAACATTCCAAAAAGATCAGCTGGGCTCTCTAAAAAGGAGTACAGAATTTAGTTCTTTGGTATTTCCTTTCTATTAGAGATTGGTACCCCGTCTTCTCCTGAGTGGAGGACAAAACCTGAAGATATTCAGAAGACAGCCACTGTAGGATGTCTGGTGGTGAGGACACAGCCTTCCCTCATGGCATTTCAGAATTTTTCCCTTTTTTTGGCATAAGGAGTAGATATTTCCTCTAAAAAAGACACTTACCTATATATTTAAGGTTACCTGTTTCTTTTTTTTATACCATTTTACCCCTGTCAATAAACATTTTTTGATTTTCTTCTTTAATATCTGGAACAGAGCCCAGCTCCTAAGAACAGCACATCAAGTAATTCAGACAAACCCTCCTAGTGAAAACCTGATGTATACATACAGATAGTCGTATGTTTATATACACATTTATACATATTAATAGAAATTGCACATCTTCACTAGACTTCCAGACAGAGGGAAGCCCCAGTGGTTCAGCGGTTTAACGCCGCCTTCAGCCCAGGGCCTGATCCTGAAGATCCGGGATTGAGTCCCACATCGGGCTCCCTGCATGGAGCCTGCCTCTCCCTCTGCCTGTGTTTCTGCCCCCTCTCTCTCTCTCTCTCTCTCTCTCTCTCTGTGTGTGTGTGTGTGTGTGTCTCATTAATAAATAAATAAAATCTTAAAAAAAAAGACTTCCAGAGTAGAAAGAATGAACTAGAAGCAATATCTGAAAGGATAATGACTGAGAATCTTCCAAAACTGACAAGACACTGTGAATTTGAGAAGGCTCCTTCCCTGCAAGCACTCATGATTCAATTAGATCAATGAGTAAAAAAAAAAAAATAGTTAAAATGCAGATTGTCAAGTAAGGAAGTGGAGGATTTGCACAGGAAGAATAACATATAAACTGGAAGGTCAGGAAATGTATCCAGAGTAGATTTTGTTGGAGTTAAAGCACGAAGAGGACAACTGCTTATTTTAACATACTTATTTTAGTTAACTATCATAATTATGTCACTTATTTTACACATTAAATTATTCAATTATCTCAAATATCTCAACAATTATTTTTATTGCAATAGTTTTCTCAAATAGATGAGCAACAGCATTAAAATTCTGAAGTTGAGTTTACAGACTAAACTCCAAAAAACAAAGGAGACAATTTTTTTTAACATCTAATCTATTTAACTTTAAAGTTACTTGTTCCTATAAATTACCCATATCTTTGTTTGTTTGTTTAACTAAATGCCAGGGGAAAGTTCTATGCTGAAATCTTGTGGGTTGTATTAATTTGTGCTAATGGTCCTGCTCATGAACCATGACTTCTCAAAAAAAAGCAATTGATTTTCCTGAGATACTTATTTTCTTTACCACCTTGCTTTCCATAGGATGGATTTATTGACTTTTTAGAGTTTATTGCTGCTATAAATCTGGTTATACGAGGAAAAATGGATCAAAAATTAAAATGGTATTTTAAACTGTATGATGCTGATGGAAACGGTTCTATTGACAAAAAGGAACTACTGAACATCTTCATGGTAAGTGAAGTAGTGAAGTAACTTTGTAGGACATTGTATAGTTCATGCAGTTTTCCTCCCTCTGGAGCTGGTGACAGCTCTCTAGATGATTGGTGACTCTTGGGATATACATTTGGAACCACTGGAGCAACGTGAGTTTCACCATGCTGTTGGTTACTGAGTGTGCACCTGCAAACCAGCACTTTCTTGTCGGTGTTCAAATTCACAAATGTAGCAGATGAAAAGTGAAATAAACATGATCTAAAACAATCTTTTTGTCTGCATCTGTGCAGTTTTTTTAGGAGCAGCTCAAATACTAGATGGTCTAGATAGCAAGAGCCATGGACTAAGAACATAGGTACCTGAGGACCCATGTTTCTGGAGGCTCGACTAAAGTATTTCTAATAAGCAGCTCAAGGATCTTGGGTCCTTTCCAGCTCTAAAGTTCAATAATTCCCTTTATAAATATCACCCCCCTCCATCACAGAAATGGGAATAGTTATCATCATGTATAAAATGAAGTGGATCATAGAGTAAAAGATGATTCAGCGGGACGCTATACCTAAGTGAGGATGTGAGGTAAGATAAACATTATGAATGCAATATAGTGAATTTGGACTCGGAATTAGAATCAGGTCTTAGAAATGATCTGGTCCAAAGTCTTTCACTTATAGATGAAGGAGTTTGAGTTACAAACATAATACATAGTATAAATATTAGCAAAAATGCAAAGAAAAATAAATGGGTAGAACTACAATTATAATTAAACACCTCAACAAATGGACAAAGTTCATATTTAAGACTGTTTAGCAAATGTAGAGTTAACCAACATATGCAAAGAATTCAAGACAATAATACTAATATCGTATATTATCATATATAATAATCTCACACAGGCAATTTACAAAAAAATGCCAAGATGCACTTTATAATTGAATTTTGTAAGCATTAAAATTCAGAAATTCTGTACCTACAAAATTAGGAATCAAAAATTCTCTTTAGAGTATGCCCAATCCCATGTAAATTTTAGACTACCCTCTTAAATAAACATACTCAAATTTATTTTAAAAACATTAAATATGTAATATAGCATACAAATATTGAGGAATGCCTCCAAAGCAGTACTCAGAGCAAGGGTTCTTATCCCAGGATCTATGGATCTGTGGCCTTTGGGAATCCTTGAAGACCCTGAAATTGAAGACAAATTTTTCCCTGTATGTTATCCGTTTTGGGGTAGAGAGTGATAGCCATTAGATTCTCAAAAGAATTAGGAGGATTGAAACGATAAAAGTGATTTCGCCTAAATCTTATGGAAATTTTTGAACAGACTCATTAGTTAAAACGTATAACTTATGTTAGCAAAGAAAAGAGAAATATTAAATAGCTAATTAAGTTTTTTTTCTTAAAGTGTTTATAAGGAAAAGAAAAAGAAATACGGAAATGGAAATAATAAAAGCGTAGAGCAGAAATTAATAGTTGATACTATTTGTCTCCAATTAAATTAATAAAGATTAACAAGAATAAGATGTAATTCTGGCCAGGGGACTATAACAAGAATCTTACACACTGTGGAGGGACTCTAAATGGATATAACATTCCTGGAAATTTGGTAACCTGCACCAAGAGGGTAAAAATTTATCTTTATTTTAGAATCAACATTTTTGGTCAGGAAAAACAATTAACATCATCAAGATAAAAGTTCTATGATTTACATCACAGAGTCCCTTAAAATACTAAAAATAAGTGACTTAAAAGAGGAAAAATTTTAAATAAATTAATGAAATGGAATATGTACTTATAAAAAATGAGTGGTTGACACACATGCTTTCTATATGGGGGCAAGTAAAAAATATAGGGTAAGGAGTAATACATGCAGTTTAAGTTCTCTCAATACATGCTAACAGGGTGTTAAAATACAGCCCAACCATCAAAAGATCCAAAGGAAGTACTAGATTTTAGGCGAAATTTACAAAGGAAGTAGTTACATCTTAATTTCACTTCAAGGGCATAAAATGGTCAGGAGGATTTTTTTTTAGAAGGGTTATTAAACAGGATTTCTTGGGTAAGAGCCCTCAAGTCAATAGCATGGTGATTTAAGGAGATCATTGATGTTTGGGGAACACTGTGTTCCAGTGTTTAAATCTGAGAAACCTAATGAAACAGGCTATGGCGGCAGAGTAGAGGGGTACATTTAAGAAGTATCTCATGCCCGGGATCCCTGGGTGGCACAGCAGTTTGGCGCCTGCCTTTGGCCCAGGGCGCGATCCTGGAGACCCGGGATCGAATCCCACATCGGGCTCCCAGTGCATGGAGCCTGCTTCTCCCTCTGCCTGTGTCTCTGCCTCTCTCTCTCTCTCTGTGTAACTATCATAAATAAATAAAAAATAAAAAATAAAATTAAAAAAAAAGAAGTATCTCATGCCCAAAATTAGTTGGGATGAAGGTTTTTTCGTGGATCAGATATGGGGGGGGGGAGGTGAGGAAAGCTGACGTACAGTTGTCTTAGATCTTGTCCAGCTGAGCCACATGGAGGAGTGAAGGCATCCCAGAAGGAGCTGGAGGTAGAACTGGAGAGTGGTTCTCAACCAGGAGCCGTGTCATCGTACTCCTCCTCCCCCAGGGGACATTTGGCAATGTTGGGGGGCATTTTGGTTGTTAGCAGGGGAGTGAGTGGAGGAGGGTGTGGTGCTACTGCTATCTATTGTTTAGAGACCAGGGGTGCTGATAAAGTCTCCAATGCACAGGACACTTCTGAACAAGAAAGAATTATCCAGTCTGAAATATCTATTATGCAGATGTTGAGAAACTCAGACCTAGAACTTCTAGAAGGAGCCTCCTCGAGGGGTCAGCTAGAATCAGAATGCATGATGCACATCTAGGGAATTGCAGGAGAGAGTCTCAGTAATGAAGGGGAGGCATGGTCTCAGACAAAGAGTGGATTTTAAACATCTGCCATCCAGACAGCTCTGACGCTAGATAACCGTGACACTGCCTGCCAGGTCAGAGCTGTCCTGCTCCCCCATCTCTCCCCCTCCTCCTGCTCCCACTCAGCCAAGGGCTTAGCAGGAGAAAATGCAGATATGCTAAATAAAGGAGGAAAGAAGGAAACAACCCATGCCTCCTTACCTGTCCCCCAACCATGTTTCTCCTGTAGAAGAGGGAAAACATGGGCAACGCTGATGATTCCCTCCGAAAATACCCCTTCAGCCCTCATCAACCTTCCAGTCAATCTTTCAGTCTCACATATATTGCCTGGAGGTGGGTGACAGACAAATCCTAGGAATTTCATAATCTTTTATTATGACTTATATATGTGGTCTGGTATCTCTACCAGGGATACTGGATGCCAAGCCAAATTTTCTAGGCTGTCGGGACACTGAGAAACCCTAAAAACATTCATCTAATAGGACATTAGATGTAGGTAACCATTATTCTAAGTATTACCCTATATTTAACTGTGAGACCTTGACTTGCTAAGGCCACAGGGGTGGTGCTTTACCACCGCTCCCTAACACCCTGGATTCAGCCTCACTAATGCTTGGGAAGCAGCGGAAGAGATAGTCCTGTTTCAGACTGTGCCCTCAATCAAAATATGTTGCCAGTGGTTTTTCTAAAGATCCCTTCACGTTTAGTCACGACAGTTATGTTCAAATTCCCAGATGACTACTCATTCTCTCTCTCCGTCTCTCTTTCATTTTATTATGAATTTCTATATCAAACATTGGTCGTTTAATCACCTAGAGGTGGGGGACGAGGGAAGAATGGTTACATTTTCCCTCTAGGAAAGCTGGAAATGTCATTTTCCCCTCGTCTCCTGACAGCCTTTATGATGAAAAGGTGCTGGCAGGATGTGAGAGAAATTCAGTGTCCTTCGAAGGCACACATATCTGTCTTCCCAGTCGATCATTCTACAAAAGGGCAAAAAGGACCAGAGGTGCCAGTGTCAGAAGCTGGAGGGGAAGCCTTGGAGGCTTACAGAATATCCTTTCATGTTTCTCCATAAGAATAATGATAATTGGTCTGAAGTTGAAAACATTACCTGTTCTCTAGGTCCAGAATTCTTATGACAGTGGCCGCTACAATTTTTTTTTCCTCCAGTAGCCTTCTTTTGCATCTTTTGTGACCTGATATGTTGAATGGCTCCCTTTGTGCTATACAATATCAAACTTCAGATTGTATGCAGTTAATTAAATGTCTAAGCCTCATTATCCTGAACTGACATATAATCTTTTTATTTATTTTTAACAACTAGAACAGGTTAGACAGCAAAAATGACACGAACATATCCTCGAATTCTGTTACATTGGGGTAGAAATGTCACAAAATGTATTTGCTTCCAGCAAAGGCGAACTCTCTGATTTAATTTCTCTTTGCAGGCTGTACAAGCCCTCAATGGCCAGCAAACTCTGAGTCCTGAAGAATTTACTAACTTGGTGTTTAATAAGATCGATATAAACAATGATGGTAAGGCAGTGACTCTCCTTGGAGAGTTTTTTGTTGTTGTTGTTTTTGTTTGTTTGTTTTTTAATTTACGAAGTAGGAGATGGGGGTGGTAGGAGTGCCCTTTAGGCAAAAGCATGAACCCTTCAAGAAAATCCTAGTTGTGATATGACTTGGACTTCATAATTTGTCCAATTCAATGTTCTCCAGTCAGTACAATTTTTAATCGAGTCAATATTTATTGACTATATATATATGTGTTTGTGTGATGTGTGTATAGTCAATAAATATTGACTCGATTAAAAATTGTACTGACTGGAGAACATTGAATTGGCCAAATTATGAAGTCCAAGTCATATCACAACTAGGATTTTCTTATATATATATTTTCTCTCTCCTCTCTCTCTCTCTCTCTCTCTCTCTCTCTCTCTATATATATATATATATAGTATATATATTATATATGTTGTGTGTGTGTGTGTGTGTGTATACACACACACATATATTCAATTCATGGTGTTTGACACTTTTGAATATATGAACACAAGTAAAGGGAGGTACAAGGAAAGAAAACTGGGAGAATATGATATGAAGGAGTCTGCTGTTTGCTCTGCGATATGTTCTAGTAATTACTCCTTTCTACTGGAGGTGTCTCATCACCTTGCAAATAAACTTAGGTTTTCCATACTATAAAAATCATCGCTTCAATTGTGTGATTTTCTTCTACTATCAGATTTTTTTCCTTCCCTTTCACTACACATTTCTGGGAAGAGTTGTACTTGCCTTCATTTCTGTTCTTTGTACCTTTTCTACATTTCTACTCTTTCTGCTCATCTCTCCATCTGCTCTTGCCACCCCAAAATCTGGGCTCCTCTTAGCTCGGAGAAGGTGCACTTCTTCAGAGGTTGAGTGCAAGGGAAGACACAGACATTCCAAGAGAAGAGGCAGTGCTGAGGCCAAATGACTTTGATCTCAGTAAAGTGGTAGGGGAGCATATTGATTTGAGATTGAGGCAGCGTATCTAGGAATGTTCCTTAAAAACAGAAAGTTTGATGTTATGGAGTATATGATGTTGGTAAGTGGTTTAAGGGGGGTAGGGGACAATGGATATGAGGTACTAGGACTTGCATGGCCATGGTTGTCATCAATCCAAGATTCCTTTTTCCAGGGAACCAACGTGCCCGCATCTTGTAATGGACACTAGAGGGCAGTAGACATCCATGTTGAGTGTGGCAGTTTGCGCAAGTCTAATGTGGCTGCTCAGTCTGGCAGGATGGGATGGAGGAGACCAGAGGGACTTCACATGAAGTGACCATTGTGAATGAGACAAACAACTGGACAAGAGTATAAATCTCAGAAAAACACTTGGGAAATGTATCAATATGTATCAGTGTATCAATAGCATCAATAGCATCAATCTCCCTCTTAGGACCCTGTCCTCAATTCCAAGTCCATATGCTCATTTTCTAATTTGCCAAGATCAAAGCCATTTGGTTGTAATCACATATATTTGGGTCTATATAGATCGAGGACAGAATAAGTCGGTTCATGCGAAAGCGTGAGAAACACGGAGTCCGACTACCCACGACTGACCAGGAGGCTAGGTGAAGGTAGACAAGGAGCAGAGAAATGGAGAATGGAAGATCTCAGGAGGCCAGTGAAAATCGTATTTGAAATATGCAACTGAAAACTCTGATCACTAAACAGGACAAATTCTGTAGGTTTTGTTCAGTTTTAATTTTTAATCTTAGAGGTGCTGGCGTAAGGCAGGGATGGAAGGAGAGATGATAAAACATTTCAGCCTGGGGCTGAAATCATTAACCAAAGGACGATTGCCCTGGAAATGGGGGGGGGGCACATTGTGAATGTTTAAGACTTAGCAATACAATGAGTGTCAAAAGGACAGTCAAGAATGTTTGCAAAGATCCCTGGATCCTGCTTCTAGCTATGGAAGTGAGGTGACAGGATAGTGAGGGGATAGGACCTCTCCTGGAGAAGTATGAGGGCTGCGGTGGCCTTGGTTTCTACTAGTGTGAGGAAAGATAGTGTATTCCAGAAAACAAGAAGGACTCTTTATTTACTATTGAAACAGTTTCCTCAAAAACAAAGTATAAGCAACCAATGAAGTGGGGGACTGAGGTTGGAGGAGCCTAGAAGAAAAAGGGGGGGGGTGTTGCAAAACAATGCAAATCTAAAAGCGTGTAGGCATTTTCTTGGGCAATAACTGAGGATACTACCAGCCTGGGATGTGGGCTCTCTGGGAAGAGAATGTGAAAAAAGAGAGAATATATTGCAGTTTCTGGAAGAGCTTAATGGAACTAATCACGTGAATCATTTTCTCTGATGAAAACTTGTATTTAAGAAAAAAGATGTCTATCATTACCTTTACAATGAAGATATCAAACGAGCTGCGTTTTGGAACAACAGTGAACCACCATTTCTTGGCAAATGCGTATACAGGACTAAAACTGATAGAATTTGCTTTTATATGCAAATTATCAGCGGTTGTTTTATCATCTCTTTTAAGAGACAGCTGGGTCATTCCCTCTGTCAAGAAAAGGATGCTAAAATTGTACTGTTGGACAAAGACGGCCCAGAGCACCAGAAGGCGAGGAAGGGGAAGTAATGAAGACATGGAAGGTTGATATTTGCAGAAGTGTAAAAGGATTTTGCCAGTATTTGACACGGGAAAATAAAGTGTGTTACTCACACATAAAGGGGAGCAGACACCATGGGGAATGTCTATTCATGTTTGCACAAGCCTAAGTATATACACCTCAAATAGGATTTTTTAAATTTTTGATTATCGTTCTTATCAAAACATCAGTGTTGGTAGAAATAGAGATGTTCGGTCAAATATAGCAGAATAGCGTTGACTATGTACCAGGATATTTATTTTATTTTTCCCATATTTATGAATATTTTACCCATATTTTTCAAAATACCCATATTTATGAATATTTTATTCATATTTTTCAAAATGAAAAGCAAGCACAGCATTGGTATCTGATAATTCAGTGAATATTGAAACCAGAGATGAAGAAGTTCACAGCACACCGGGAACTTTAGGAACATATATGAAAATCCCAATTTCACTGCAAATTGTTTACAAAAGAATGACTAACATCACCTTTGTTGGGTCAGAAAAATACACAATGGCTATGACGTGTTCTATGCATGATTATCGTGGTAGTTAGCAAATGACAGAAGATTAATCAAAAGAGAGGCCTAGGATAAATGCTAAGAAAATAAAAAGATGAGGGTCTGCAAACTCCACGAGGGCAACTGTTTCTGTTTTATGTGCTTTGGTATTTCTTGCATGTTTATACTTCCTGACACATCGTAGTTACTCTATGAATAATTATCAGGTGAAGGAGTGTCTGGTAAGACGAAGCCATGAAAAGTGAAGGAAGAAATAAAAAAGAAACAAGCACAACATGCAATGTATTTTTTTAAATATTAATTTATTCTCCCCCTGCCTGTGTCTCTGCCTCTCCTTCTCTCTGTGACTATCATAAATAAATGAAAATTAAAAAAAAAAAAAAAAAGGGATCCCTGGGTGGCACAGCGGTTTGGAGCCTGCCTTTGGCCCAGGGCGCGATCCTGGAGACCCGGGATCGAATCCCACATTGGGCTCCCGGTGCATGGAGCCTGCTTCTCCCCCTGCCTGTGTCTCTGCCTCTCCTTCTCTCTGTGACTATCATAAATAAATGAAAATTTAAAAAAATAAATAAATAAATATTAATTTATTTGAGAGAGAGAGAGCAAGAGAAAGAGAGCATGTGCACACACTAGTGGACGAGAGGGAGAGGGTCAAGCAGACTCCCTGCTGAGCAGGGAGCCCAATGTGGGGCTCAATCCCACAACCCTGAAATCATGACCTGAGCTGAAATCAAGAGTTGGACGCTTCACCGACTGAGCCACCCAGGCCCCCACAACATGCAATGTTATCTGTAGGAAGAAAAGTGTCTGGACTATTTTAACATATATGTGCGTACGCATTGCTCCTACATAAACTATAAGTGCCACTGTTTAACGGGAGCCAATTGCCAATGGAAAGTGAAACTGGGGGACAGAAAGAGGTCCAGGAGACTCTTTCGTTTCATCACACCTTAATGTAGTGCTTACGCTTTATATCATGAGCATGCTTTATTGTAATAATTCAGCAAGCTGCTTCTAATGGTGTATTGTGCACAAAAGCACCAGGAAGGAAACCTTGAAGAGGATCCCAAAGGCAGGGGATTGAAGCTCAGCACTCAGTATTACTGAGGAATGAGAACAGGTAGGACAGTAAGACAAGTCGGGACGTGTGATTAACTTGGCATTCGGGTAGAGGGTGGGGGTGACTGGGTGATGGGCACTGAGGGGGGCACTTGGCGGGATGAGCACTGGGTGTTATGCTAAATGTTGGCAAATTGAACTCCAATAATTTTTTTTTTTAAATAATGAAAAAAACCCACAGCAACATGGCATTCTGCAACCTTTGCTGCAGTAAGAACAGCAGTTGTGTTATACCAAGCACTGCCTTGGAGTCGTTCTTGACATGATTTAGGAAGATTTAGGTGCTGTTCACGACATCAAGTGCAGAGAGTGTCCAGGCAAGTTGACCCTGGCGCCAGGAAGCGCAGGGACAGGAGAGACGTGAGTGGCTCATCATAATACACCGTGAAAGTGAAAAGAGACAGACCAAGGCCGAAGAGGAAATGAAAGCAGTGACTGTTGGGTGGATATTTTGGGTTAAAGAAAACAGGGACAGAGCATGGAGACATTTTATTGAGCAGTTAACCAGAAGGACCAGTGTTCTCGACTGGGACATTGTGGAAAGCCACAAGAGTCACAGTGACTCAAACTGGGACGCAGAACTACCAGGAGATAAGAGGGAATCGGGTTTTTCTCATATAAAAGAAACTGCTGTTCTTAAAACTCTGTGAAATGCTGCCGAATGCCTCTAGTGCCACCTTGCTAATGACTACAAAACTGAGTTGTGTAGACTCTTCACTGGTGTCCGCCCTTGAAAGTCCGTTCATTCTCATCTCCTGAGACCCTACATCCCCCACCCCATCTCTGCTAATTTCCCAGCCCCTCTACCCTGTTTCACCAAATTCTAATTTAAAAGAATTACGATTGCAAAAAAGAAGCCCTTTACACAGACTGGTTTCTTTTAAAACCAGGCTGACTTCTTGAGAGCAAAAATAATAATGTGGGCACTGCACAGTAAATTTTGGCTTTTTTTTTTTTTTGAGGTGGGGGGTTGAAGGTCCTTTTTTGTTCTGTTATGAAAGATACTGTAAGATGTTAGTGGGAAGAAATACAGGATCCAGGAATATCAACAAGATAACCAGCGAGATTGCAAAAACAAGGCTAAAGAAAATATTCATGGGGAGCTTCTATTGTTGGTGAAGCTGCTGAAATCGGGAGTGAGTGATGGAAGGGCACTGACCTTCAGGGTCTCCAGGAGGAGAGAATGTATCCACAAACACAACAAAGAAAACTAAGTAATGTAAATATAAATGATGAGTATATACCTATTTCAACCTATAAAAATAAAATTGTGTACTTTCTGAATTATGCCCTACAAATAATATAATGTATCTTTAAATATAAAACAAAATAATAAAAACTCAAACAATTGTTTTAGATCCTTCTTTTTAAAAAATGTTATTTATTTATTCATGAGAGACACAGAGAGAGGCAGAGACATAGGCAGGTTCCATGCAGGGAGCCTGATGCAGGACTCGATCCCAAGACCCCAAGATCATGACCTGAGCCCAAGGCAGATGCTCAACCACTGAGCCACCCAGGCGTTCCTGTTTTAGATCCTTCTGAGTCCTGTGATCTCCAACTCAGTCACCTCTTACTGGCTTTGGCTCTTTGCTGGTAGATTTTTTTTTTTTTTTTTTTTTTTTTTTTTTTTTTTTAGGGGAGGCTTCTGGATGTGCATAGACAATCCTTTCTCGACAGATTCAGAAACCATCCTTTTAATTTGTTTGGGCATAAATCAAGCAAATTAAAAGGGATTAGGAAGCAATGTTTAGGAACGTCAGATAAAGGAAAGCAATTTGTCAGTATGTTTTCTGAGCACCTGTCACATTCCAGCACCATCGTTCGCCGAGCCGCCTGGCAGAGGAAGTGGCCCTCTGTAGCTGGGCCTTAATCCATGTTTGATGAATAAATGAATGAACGCTAAGTGCTAGAGGGGAAAGGAAAATTTCAAAGTGAGGACTTTAGATAGAAATAGTAAATATTATAAGCTGCTATAGGTAGAAGTTGGCTCAATTTCAAAAAGAATTTTTTTAATCATAAGTGGTTAGGAAACATGAAAAAAAAACGAATATGCAGAGTTCACATGTTTTGAGAAAAGTGAAAGAACAACAGTGAAGAGTTCCATCTTCTAAGTTGTTAGGGGAATAGAACTTAAAGGTTCTCATCACAAGAAAAAAAAGTGTAAAGTGTAAGTATGTGAGGTGATGGATGTTTACACTTCATGTGAGCTGTTGCAATAAATACATGAATCAAATCACTGTGTCGTACACCGTAAACTGACGCAAGGTTATATGTCAATTCTATCATCTCAATTTTTTTAACTTTTTTTTTTTTTAAAGAAACTCCATTTTTTCTCTCTTTCCCACCCCAGTAGCTTGTGTTGCCTTCACCTGACATGGTGGCTATACCCTCCCCGTGCTCAGACTTAGCTCCTTCCTCCAGCAGTGGTGGCGACAGACAGGTGTTCCAGCTCAGCGATCAGAACCCACTTCAGTTCCCCTGTCTACACTCTCGCTTCTCTTGCGGTCATGTGAAGCCCCTAGAAATTTGAAAGACTTCTGCATGGGGGGATTTAGCAGCTACGATTTCCCTTTGCAAAGGACAAGATTGTCCTTGTTGTTATTATGGTCCGTGACCCCCTGCTCTGCACCCATCTGACCTTCCCCAGCCGCACCCTTACTACTCCTCATTTTCAGTTTTCTCTCCTTAACTTTGGTTCATCCCACAGTTATACTCTCCCTGTGAGACACAGGTGACTCCATTCCTACCCTGTGGGTTCTGCACAGACTCCTTTGGCATAAGGAAAACCTAAGGAACAAATTCTTAAAAATGTGCTTTCGAATTTGCAGTGCCACTGCAACTGAAAGGGAAGTATCTTTTTTTTTAATTTCTTTTTTTTTTTTTAAGATTGTACTTATTTATTCATGAGAGACACAGAGAGAGAGGCAGAGACACAGGTACACAGAGAAGCAGACTCCATGCAGGGAGCCTGATGTGGGACTGGATCCTGGGACCCCGGGGTCACACCCTGAGCCAAAGGCAGACTCAAGCACTGAGCCACCCAGGTGTCCCTGAAAGGGAGTATCTTATGAGAGCGTGATGATCCATGCTTATTTATATTTGAATCACTGTGGTGGTGTTTTGGATATTTGACTTTACCCACTAAAAAGTACAGGTACAGTATAACTCCCGACTTCAGGTCCTGCAGACCCTCCGCCCCAGGGGCACATTCTTAGTTACTGAATGCTCTTGATTTGTCTTTGGCTGGCCTTCTACCTAGGCACAAAGCCAATCTGGTAAAATCTCTTTGAGATCAGGAGCTACGTCTCTACCCTCAACTCCAATGCACTCATGTGCAGCTACCTCCCAGCAGACTCTAAGCCTAGGGTGGGTGGTGGTCCACTGAGGCCAAAGAAAAGACTCAGAGTGATCAAGACATAGGTGTTTTTTTTTTTAAGATTTTATTTATTCATTTGAGAGAGAGAGAGAGAGCATGAGTGAGGGGAGGGGCAGAGGGAGAAGGAGGAAAAACAGACTTCCGGGTGAGCAGGGTGCCTGATGCAGGGTAAGACATAGGTTTATGGAGGAAACTTACGTACAAGGAATCCAGGAGTGGCCACCTGGACAGAGCATCTGCTCTGGCATCTATGTGCAGCAAGTTGTCTATCATAGCAGTTCCACCTAGCAACTCTCGGTGGCCCTCCCCCTCCCTGCATGGACAGCACTTCCAAGGAAATAAAGCTCTGCCACCTGGACACTGTTTTAAGGGAGATGCTCCAGGTTGGCCAGCCCCAGAGCCCCTGACCTTGAACACTGAACAACACATTCCACCACACAGTCTGCTTGATTGGACATAGAGGGAAGACGGGATCTTTACACTTCCAAGACTGATTAACAGGGGCATTTGGGGATGTTTGCACAAACTAGCTATCAGCATGTACCATAAAACTCATAACGACAACCCAAGTGAGTCAACAGTACCTCCCATCCCCCTAAAATGTTGAAGAGTTGTCTTGTAGGGTGAGGATAGTGACAAAACATTGCAGCCAGAGCACATGAGTGTAAGGCGATGGTTTTATGGCACTGGACTGGCCAGCATGGGCCCAAGGCTTAAGTCAATGATGAAATTAGGAATAAAAAAGGAGAGGGGTGCCTCGGTGGCTCAATCAACTGAGCATCTAACTCTTGATCTCAGCTCAGGTCTTGATCTCAGGGTTGTGAGTTCAAGCCCTGCATTGGGCTCCATGATGGGCATGGACCTTACTTTAAAAAGGCATATCAGAAAATGGCTGGCCAATAATTATATGAGGAATGAATAAATGTTTAACCTTCCTAGGGGTGCCCGGGTGGCCCAGTCTGTTAAGAGGCTAACTCTTGGTTTGGGCTCAGGTCATGATCTCAGGGTTCTGGGATGGAGCCCCCAGTCAGCCTCAGCACTCAGTAGGGAGTTTGTTCGTCCCTCTCCCTCTGCCCCTCCCCCTGCTCATTACTCTCTGTATATATTTCTCTCTCAAATAAATAAATAAAATCTTTAAAAAAAATGTTTAACCCTCCTCACAGCTTTGGACACTCCCTGCAATTATTTCCTCAGGGAGAAGAACATTGAAAACGGCCTCGCATGCAGTCATTTCCTCCTCATCTTAGAAATCAGCAGTAGGGATCCCTGGGTGGCGCAGCGGTTTGGCGCCTGCCTTTGGCCCAGGGCGCGATCCTGGAGACCCGGGATCAAATCCCACATCGGGCTTCCGGTGCATGGAGCCTGCTTCTCCCTCTGCCTGTGTCTCTGCCTCTCTCTCTCTCTCTCTCTGTGACTATCATAAATAAATAAAAAAATTAAAAAAAAAAGAAATCAGCAGTATTCATGCTTCTATCATTTGGTCGTTATCTTCAAGATTGAAGGTCAAATAGCCAATATCATGTAGAGACATAAATGTGTATGTGAACACACGTGCATTGCTGATGTTCTCAACTTAAAAATAGATTGTATTTGGGGCACCTTGGTCTTTCAGTTGGTTAAGTGTCCGACTCTTGATTTCAGCGCAGGTCACAATCTCAGGGTTGTGAGATTGAGCCCCGCATTGGGCTCCATGCTGGGCGTGGAGTCTGCTTGAGATTCTCTCCCTCCCTCTTCCTCTGTCCCTCCCACAACTCCATTTGCATTCTCTCTCTGTCTCTCTCTCTCCCAAAAAAAGAAAAAATTGTATTTGTCATCTACATTTTCATTGGCAACCCTACTACTGAATGCTTTTCCGTATAAGGATATTCAGAGAACTTAGAATCTGGTTGAGGTGAAAGGATGTCTGAAAAATATCAATAAAAGTACAAAGGAATATAATGTATACACCAGGGGTTGGTATGAACAAAGCCTCTTGTTAATTTTTCACTTATTATTTTCTAGGAGAATTGACTTTAGAAGAATTTATCAATGGCACGGAAAAAGACCAGGATCTTCTGGACATTGTTTCCAAGAGCTTTGACTTTTCCAATGTACTAAAAGTAATCTACGATGGGAAACAGCCAGACACAGAAGGGAGGCTTCCTTCAAACCATGTGAGAAGACTGATCTAGGGAAGGTGGGAATGAAGCAGCCGTGAGAATGCCTTTCCCGACTTTCAGTGGATGCGAAGAAATGAAAATCTCCCGCGTACATGCTGTTGATTTCAGGTTTTTGTTATAATTGGTATCGGCTTGGGAAGACATCACCTAAGTCCCATAGAGACTTCCATAAAGATCGTAGACAAAAGAATCGTTGCTTTTCTGTCTATACATTAGTGATCTCTCTGGATTAGAACATGATGATTAAACTGGGGGATTGTCTCCATATACGTTCAAAATAGAGCTCACATGTATATTTCTGTGCACACCTAAATTAATCTGCATCTTGAAATAGCCCTGGATTATCTGGGCAGTGTCTCCATACTTTGACATTCTTCTTAAACATGCATTTGGCAAAGGTGTTTGCTGCCTCTTGGCTCCTGTTGTATCTGCGTATTATAAAGGACCGAGTTCTGGTCTATAGAGAAACTTTTTTCTGTCCTTTTTTTTCTTATTCCTTACCCTGAATCCTGCCTTGAATCAGTAATACTGTTCTGCTCCAAAAGGAAAGGTCTTAAGCTATGTAGTAAAAGAGAAAATTTCAGGCCAGGCAATGAGAACGTTTCCGCTGATTTGTTATAAATCTGGGTCCAGTTGTGCATGAAAATGCGATGCATCATCTGTAATTATTATGCCAGTTGGGGGTTTGATCAGAACAGCAGACAGCCAGGCTATGCAACAACAAGCACTTGACATTTTAAACAGTCTTGACATTATAGCTCTGACATTTCATTTTTTATATCCTTTCCAAAAAATGAAATGATGAATGAGATTTCTTGATGGGTTAGAACTTTTTAAGTTTTGGGTTCTATATCGCAGGCCCATTAGTACATCTGTCAATGCAAGGCTTTCTCATGGAAACACAGTGGTGGCTGAAGAGCAGATGTGAACTATCTTTTTGTTAAGACCTTCCTAATTATGCTTTCATATTCAAATTTGGGTGGAAAACACACAACTGAAACTACAAAGACAGATGTGGCTGGCCCTGTCTCCCTCATGGTTACAGATGTGGATAAAGTGTTGATAGAGGTATAGATGAGTCATTCATGGCAGTGGAATGAAGCATAAATGGAGGTAGAGAAGTTATAGATGAAGACATAGATGAAGGTAGTATAGATGGATGTAGAAATATTCTGTGGTTTTCCAAATGATTTTGAGGAGATTCCAAAGAGGTACACAATATATGTTGACATGAAAGTGTTACCGATAAAGTAAGAAAAATCATGGCAGCCATAATAAGTTCTACCCATTGGACTCTGAGCTTCCTAGCAGTAGAAGGGAAAAGGGAAACATTACAGTCCTGCCCCAACAGCCCGATCCTGGCAGTGGCAGTTCATTTCATCCCTCCTCCCCCTACACACAAACATTCCTCTGAGGCACCCAGTGTCCTTTCCAAAGAAAAGTGAGGCCCAGCAGCCCCTTCCGAACTTCTATGTTCTAATAACTCTAACCTTTTCCCTTTGTTCTTCTAGCCTCAGAGGGTAGCTGCTTCCAGGAATTTCTGTGTTGCTTCATCAGTGTCCTCTCTTTGCTTTTCCAGTCCTCCAGTGTCTTTCTCACTAATACCTTATATTGATGCTTTTAAAATAATCAGTGTGGTCTCTCTTTCTCTGACTGGATCCCGACTGATTCTGCACCTTGACGGACTGAAGGGTCAGTCCTCATCTAGGTGAGTAACCCACCCCCTCCTTTCCTTGCATGCCCTGATCCTTGCTCCAGAACTGAGCTGAGTGGGCTTGTTGACTCCTAATGGCCCAGTGGAGTGGCTGTTATCCATCCCCACTTGAAGTCTGGCAGCTGAGACTCTGGAGAAGTGAGACCCCTTCCCAGAGTTACTGTCTGGTAGTGTCCCTCCAGCACCTCTATGGGCTGAGCTTAACAGGGAAACAACCAGCAAAGGAGCAATGTACTAAGTAGGACCCCAGCCTAGCATCACAACGTGAAATAACAGGAGGATCAAGTTGGAGCCAAGCATATATAGTCTAATTATCAACACATTTGGGATAGGCCAAGTAGACACCTTAGGAGCATTTCACCACCCATAGTTTCCATCAGAGCACCCAAGCTCTGCTCTACCCCAGGCCCCACCTTGCACTTTACCCTTTGAACCTTGTAGATCTCATCTGACTTCCCCAGGCTCCAGTCACCCTGTTGTCTCTTTATCTGGATCCTGCTCCACCCGTCACTCACTTTGGAATCATGAATGATTTGTCTAGTGTACCCAGGTTAGGTTTTGTTTTTGTGTTTTGGATGCTGCCTCTTGGGTTTGTTTCATGCACTTGACCTGATGCCTCTCAAGTAGACCTCACAGCTTGTGGTGGAGAGAAGAGAGTGGTACCCCCCTTCCCTTGTCAGAGAATAGCTTCAGGGATGCCTGGGTGGCTCAGTGGTTGAGCATCTGCCTTTGGCTCAGGTCATGATCCTGTGACCCTGGGATCAAGTCCCACATTGGGCTCCCTGCATGGAGTCTGCTTCTCCCTCTGCCTGTGTTTCTGCCTCTCTGTGTGTCTCTCGTGAATAAATAAATAGAATCTTAAAAAAAAAAAAAAAGGAATAGCTTCATCTGTAAGAAGGGCAGGCAGGCCCACATACACATTTTTGTTAGCTTCTTGGGTAAAAGGGTTAGTTGGTACTGAGAATGTGAAGATACTAGTTGCCTATCATAAGAAAACAGATCATAAAATAGTATCTACTTTATAGTTTTGCTGAGGATGGTCCTAAGAAGGCAAAAAGTCTGAAATTCAGGTTAAAAAAATTTAGATTAATTCATGGTAAGGTGAGATAGGAAAAAAAAAAAAAGAGTCCAGGAAAACAGTACACCCTTTCCTTCAAGTCTCTCTCTCTCTCTCATAGATAATAAATTTTTAAAAAATAAAGAGAGAGAGAGAGAGAGAGAGAGAGAGAGAGAGAATGTGGGAGGGCCAGAGGGAGAGGGAGAGAATCTAGAGCAGACTCCTCTGAGTGTGGAGCCCAACTTGAGACTGATCTCATGATGCTGAGATCATGACCAGAGCCAAAATAAAGAATTAGAGGCTTAACCAACTGAGCCACCCAGGTGCCCCCTCAAGTCTCCATTTCTTAAGGTCAGTCTCCCCAAGGTCATGTTCCTTCTCCATGTTTTCCTCTGCAGGTTTGCATCATGAACCTGGTCCAGGAAATAGTCCTGATCTACATACAAAGAAAGCCATGTTACTTGAATGAACTGGGTATTTTAAAATAAATTTCTTCCCCCTTCAGATGCTAAGCTTTAAGTAGAGCCTACTGGCCAGTGACTTTTTTTTTTTTTTGCAGGTTTTTAAAAAAATTTATTTAAACAGAATTCCTAATGATTTTACAGTAAAATTTCAAGTAAGGAATTTTATAACAAGTGTATGAAGAACTTCAACAACCTTAGGTTAATGTCTAGACTATCACTCCCACTTACCCAAAGGGCAGTTGATTCAATGAGAATTGTAACCATCTAATGAGAACCAACATCTTCCACCACATTTTTCTCTTTGTTTTTATAATGCCTTGATGCTCTGAAGGAAAGACACTATTTTAAAAAGAGATAAGGATGGAAGGTATTCAAAGATTTCATCTTAATCTTATAAAGATGATCCCCTCCCCCCAAAAAGATTAAAGTCCTATTACATATCTCTATGGATTTGAAGATGCACCAGGAAGATGGCTTGCTTCTTTGGTCTAAATCTTGAGAAAGAAAGGAAGAAAAAGAGGAAAAGAGATGAGTGGCAGCTGGTCCAAGATAAGAACAAGCTTTAATATGAATTCTCTTCTTTCTCTTCACATCAGTGGCTTGTGAGCAGCTGCTCCTTCAATTAAGCCTTGACTCTTTCTGGCAGAGACACAGAACATTCCACCTAGAGAAACACCTGCTGATACAGAACTGGGTTTAGATCACAAGGCTAGGCCATGGGGGCAGGCGAATGGTTTAAGTGGGGCAAATAGCTCCTTTATTTTTCTTTCCCAAATGTGTTGGCACAAACTTAATGGAGAATTAAATGAGAAAGATAGTTTGTTTAAAATTAAATATGTGGCCGAGAGGCAAAACGAAGAGACCTAAAGGAAGGATTAGCGCATTAAAGAAACAAGCTGAGTTCTGGAGGCAGCCTGCCTGCTCCACCTCCCCCCACCCCCCATTTATATTAGAATAACCTTTATTTTTTTAAAATTTTTATTTATTTATGATAGTCACACACACACAGAGAGAGAGGCAGAGACACAGGCAGAGGGAGAAGCAGGCTCCATGCACTGGGAGCCCGACGTGGGATTCGATCCCGGGTTTCCAGGATCGCGCCCTGGGCCAAAGGCAGGCGCCAAACCTCTGCGCCACCCAGGGATCCCTAGAATAACCTTTAAACGTGAAAATGAAATACAGAAAAGTCCTGACATTTGAAACCAAACTAGGGTCTTATGCTTGCTAAAGAATCTAAATCATTAAAAGTGTGTGGACAGGGAATAGCTTTTTTAATACTTAGAGTTTGTTTCTGGGGCCAGCAGTAGGTGAGCAAAATTGGACATTCAAATAAAAGCCAGAAATACCAAGTTTTATCAGTAGGGTGACTGACAACATTGAGAAAGATATTTAGGTAGGCAGCATTTCTTGATGGAGACAGTACTGGAGTGAGACCACGTGTGGATTCCTGGGGCCTCCAACAAGCCATTTGCCCCTCTGGGTCTTGGCCTCCTCTGCTCTCCAGAGAGGGGACAAATCTCTGAGGTCCCTCCCACCTCCATTTTTTTTATGAGTCCATGAAACCTTCATAATGCAAGGAATGACACCTCAGTACCTCAAAAAGATTACTAATTCTTTAGAAGCAACATTTATGGAACAAATTGTTTGTATTTGGTACAGATTTTTTACTCATGGCCAATGAGTAGAGTAGTATAGAGATTGCTCTCTATAGGCTTTATTTTGTCTCCCCTTGTTACTTTTTATCCCTACCCCTGAATGGTTCTTCTTCATGTATAGA